CCATAATTGCTTGAAATATAAGATTCATCGTTCTTCTGTAGAAGTGGGTCGCTGACTAACAAACCTTACTCTGACGGAAGCAATTCGGACAAAATGCCTTTTAGACACTATAGAATTATTAAGGCATGCATGCATAATGGGCTCCTTGTCTTGAATCTATATAAAAGTGGTCTTTTAAACAGTGCACCTAAATCGCCAATTATCCAGCTCTAACTTTCAGCAATGGAGCAATAAACTTAATAGCCTAAATAGAAGCTCTTTTAGAGAACGAAACGAGTCCTGCTATTGGTTTACAAGTATACTACAAATTTCATATATAAACAATTTCATTCTCCATCACTCTCTAACGAATCAATTATAACCAGTCTCCTGCAAGCGTTTAAAACTCCTCAAATTTTATTACATTAAGGCACAAATTGAAACACAATGGCAAATAAATTCCTGCGAGATCTTATCCTATGCTTTAAGTGTGGTTTGACCTCTTTCTCAAAGCTTGGTGTAAAATATAAACGCCATGATAATTTCACTAAATCATAAAATTTGTTTTTGGATATTGGCAACCTACTTTAAATAGCCAAATTATCTTAAGGTGTATTATTCGCATAGGATGGTGTGAATCCCAAGTTTGCAGAATTTATTTGAGATTTAAAGCTTGTGATAGTATCTTGAATGCATGTGATATGGTAGTATTTTCCTGTAATCATCATTTCTATAACCATTTTTATCACCGGCAAGTCCTTAGGTTGATTAAATAGTGCGTTATTATCCCACTATCCTATATTAGCTCACTTTTTTGATCTCCTGTATGCGTATAATGTTAGTATCTGCAATTGTTTGTTTTTACTCAATAATGACAATTCCCTCCGGCACAATTATCACCGGCTTTTATTTAGCCTCACACCACTTGGTTAAACTGTACAAAAAGAACTCGTCGTTAATATTTTGACAGAGATTGTTAAGAACTTTTTCTTCTAAGGGATCCCAAATAACTTGAATATTTTCTAAAACAATTTAGAATACTTCTTATTCGACGTCTCATCTTTTACTATAACATCCAACCACGAATCTTATCTGTCTGGTATCATCTGAAATTTATACGGCAAATACCTAGCTTTCTGATGCATGAACATTGCCGTTTTATGGCAAAGGCAACAAGAGGGTACCTAAAAATCATGTGCCAAAGGCTTTTGCAGAAATTCGTATAATCACTCCAGGTAGAAGCGCTACCATGGCGGCTCCATATCGAAATAAAATCAGACATAGTAACTAAAAATTATAAGAGTAATCGGAAAGCCAGAGGGCTTATCTAATTAAAAGCTTTTTAATATCGTTTAATATTTGATGAAGTGTCATACTCAGTACATTTGATCTTTTCAGAGCCTTTTTAAATTATCTGAATTATATAAGCTACCACACAATCTGCAT